TCTATAATTGATTAATAATTTTTATGTATATGTTATTTTATTTTCTAGATAGTACTGGTTAATTTAATAAAGTTATTACCTAACTTACATTTCTGATAGCTTTTACTTAGTTATAAAAGTTTTWTAATAATTTTACATTTAACAAGTTTATTATGTATCTACATGTAATATATATTTAATATTTAAATCCATATGTTTCTAGGTGGAAAAGTGATGATTGCTGACAGAAGTAGTGATTGACGATTGTGTTCCATTTTGAAGAAACATTGATATATTAATTCATTCAGCAGAACACAAGAGCTTTCAAAAAAGATTCACAACCGTAAGCTTATTTTATAATTAAAATATCTGTTCAAATTTCTTGTGTGGTTCAAATATGTATGAACCAGAAGTTTTCGAAGAAGATTTGCTAATTCCACCTGGAGAAGATGTTACTCTTCCCCCAGCCCTTGAACAAGCATTGAACAATATTCAAGCAACAGAGTATTCACAAGAAGATAACACCGAAGTTGTACAGCCTACAGTTGAAGATGTTGAGGATGAGGATGATTATGASGATGATGATGATGAAGAAGAACAAATAGTTAAAATGTCTTCTAAAGATCGTAAAGTAGCTAAAAGAAGGAAGAAAAAGTATAAGAAAAAAAAGAAGAAACAATTAAAAAATGAGCAAAAAGTAAAAGAAACAACATCCTCAGACAAAGAGAACAAGGTTGATAAATTAGATATTGAGGTTGAATACATACAAGAAACTTTAAGCGTGTTCAACCTTGTACCTATGTATAGGCAATATGCTAAAGTGTTTGAGAATTTCAAAATTCCTGAACCAGAACAAAAACCAGCAGATCTAGATGGTGGTCAAGAAGCTACTTTACCCAGTTTAGATTTAAAGAAAGTGCCTAAGCTCCCTGAACAAGAAGATGATGATGATCTTAGAGATAAAGATGGAGAAAATCAGCAGAAGGGCTCTGATAAATTGTCAAGAAGGCAATTTAAAAAGGTTACTCGTTTAAGTGTAGCTGAATTAAAGCAACTTGTTTCTAGACCAGATGTTGTAGAAATGCATGACGTTACTGCCAGAGATCCTCATCTCTTAATACAATTAAAAGCACATCGTAACACAGTACCTGTACCTCGTCATTGGTGCTTTAAGCGTAAGTATTTACAAGGTAAACGAGGTATTGAAAAGCCACCATTTGATTTACCTGATTTTATTAAGCGCACTGGTATCATGGAGATGAGAGCTGCTCATCAAGAAAAAGAAGATGAAAAGTCGTTAAAAAATAAAATGAGAGAAAGGGTTCGRCCTAAAATGGGAAAGATTGATATTGATTACAAAAAATTACATGACGCGTTTTTTAAATTGCAAACTAAACCAAGATTATCTCTTCATGGTGACTTGTATTATGAAGGCAAAGAATATGAGACTAAACTTAGAGAAAAGAAACCTGGTGACTTAAGTGCTGAATTACGTACTGCGTTAGGTATGCCAGTCGGTCATAACGCTCACAAAGTTCCTCCACCGTGGCTTATCGCTATGCAGCGTTATGGTCCACCGCCGTCTTATCCAGCACTTAAAATACCTGGTCTTAATGCTCCCATTCCTGAAGGATGTTCTTTCGGTTACCATGCTGGTGGTTGGGGAAAACCTCCTGTAGATGAACGTGGTCGACCTCTTTATGGTAATGTGTTTGGTACACCATCTGATTATGATGAATCACATGTAGCTGAAGAGCAAATTGATAAATCTATGTGGGGAGAACCAGATTCTGAATCGGATGCAGAAGAAAGTGAAGAGGAGGAAGAGGAAGAAGAAGTTAAAGAAACCGAAGAAGTAGCAATTGACGCTAGTGGTATTGCCACACCGGTCGCTGAAGGCTTAGCTACACCATCAGGAATTATGTCTGGATTACCAAGTGGTTACGAAACACCCGAATATATTGAATTAAGAAAACGAAAGATTGAATCTGAAATGGAAAGTAGCGAACAACAACCACTCTACCATGTCTTACCAGAGAAGAAGGTAGACACTGTCCGTGGCTCTATGATGGCATCTACACACATGTATGACATACCAACTGCTGCGTCAAATAAACCTGGTGAAGTTGAAGTCAGCTTAGATCCATCTGAATTGGAATTAGCTGGAGATGTAGAAGCTATGGCAGCTAGATATGAGCAAAGAATGAAGGATCAACAGGGCGGGGAAGATGATGGCACAGAAACCGAAAAGAAAAAAGGACAAAAACGGAAAGCCGCTCAAGAAGCAAAAACAAGCAAAAAATATAAAGATTTCAAATTTTAAACAAATGAAATTAAATTATACCTTGTGCATTTTAGAAAATATTAAAATATTGTGTATAAATTATACAACTCTTTGTATTCAACTTTTTACAGTCGCTATAAAGTGTATAAATTATGTTGTATTTGAACGGAATTGGTGTAAAATTTGTGCTGAACTTATAAATGAAATCCACTGAATAAACTTATTATTTAGAGCTACATGAACAATATTTGATTACGGTTACAAACACTTTCATAAAAATAAATTTTAAAAAATATTTAACACTGCGCGTATTATAATTAAATTATATTTTTGTGGATAATGGAAACAATGAAAACATTATAGCTGTCTACAAATAATAATCAATTACGCGTAGGAAATTCAACTCTAATTTAGCGGTGTGGTACAAAAATTATTTGTTTTACATGGCATGATTAGTATGACATTATTAAGTGTACTTATCAAACGATTGTGATGTAATTAAATAGGTGTTTTTTAGATTTTTCTTTGAATAAATTTTTAAATGTACGCCTACCTATATAATATCATGTTATATATTAACGGCATTGTAGTATTATCAATATTATGTGTTAAGGCTAACTGTGACCAGTTTGAAATAAGTTAAAAATGTATACAGACCGCCTTGTGTTTACTTTCAGGTTTTGACTCTGAATACGTTTTGGTGAATAATGCCCCGGAGTATTTTACGATCGATTCTGTCGGACTGGAGACCAATCTGATGTAACGTTTCAGACAAATTATTTAGGCGAGACCACGTCCTATTAACTCAATATATTATTATTAGCTTATAATTATGYTGAGCATCGCTCGGTCGTGTACTTAGTGTCTGTGTGATTATTTTCGGTAGGTATACAGTGTAAGCGCAGGCGCCACTTCTATATAGGCTTATGATTTTACTTGACTTTTACTAGAAGTTTGGTACAGAGAGGTTTGTGATCGAGATCAAATTTAACGGAAATCGACTTGGCCTGACCCTCCGCGGTGCATTCCTGCAGACAATTCGTTGACGTTAACTGCAAGGCGCATAACTCAGACGGCGGCGATAACATATATATATATATTCACGAGCTGCAGTCGTCGACTTGGGCACACTTTCGACGTCGTCGTCCGGTAAAAATAAAATAAAACTGACCATCGACAACGTCAAACCGCCCTCGTCTACGTGTCGCCCGCCACCTACTCGTACAGTTTTACGGATGGGTGACCGCGAATGAAACGAATCCCGGCAACGTACTGGAGTACTGTATTATCTCTTGCATGTGCAGGTCACTCATCGCCCGTTTCTGTTGAAGCTCCAAGTTCCGGTGGTTGCTGATAAAAAAAAAACCTCCTGCAGGTAATGCCAGCAGGTTCCTTTGCGTTTGCTACCTGAAGGGGCGCGGTGGCAGTTTTTTTTAGACCAAGTCAGTGATGGGTATGGGTGTGGTGGGTTCTTGTTGCTGAGTATCGACTAGGAGTGTAGCACGGAATAGTGAATGATTTGCCGGGTTGATATATTTTCAAACTTAAATCTGAAATTTGGTGGGCAGGTGAGAGGGTGATGGACAGAGTCTTTGCGGAACTCTTGGAATAAAATATCTCGCGCCACTGCTTGTTCCTCATCGTTATTAGCGTGACTTCGATATCATACCTATTATAACGGCCGAATATTTTACGATTCACGTCAGAACGTCGCTAACATGGATATACTGCAGCCGCATTACTGCTCGATTATTTTTATCGGAGTACRCTCTTTTTAAAGACTATAGTATACTTAGATGCAAAGAAATCGAATTTAAGACGAGTTGTTCATATGTTTTAAGTAACTATATTTAAATATTAAAGTGAGTATGTACCTCGCAAAATGTTGGTACTGTATACTTAAATTAAGATAGAACTAATTCCAAAAGCAGTCTAACTACGCGTCCGAAATTTGATGTTTATAAATCTAAATACTCCAAACAACATTCTACTTATAGGAATAATAATGTAAAATTAGTGTTGTAAACCAAAAGAGAACGTCGAATAAAAATAATACACTTAAAAACTATATTAAGATAAAAAATTGAAAAATAATGTACGTTGATTGATAAAATAATGTGGTTAGGCATATTTTAATTGATAATATTGTCGTGTGTAAGGGACATTCTTTTTAACACGAACAACTCATATTCATCTCATTTAATTTAAATTTAAACGCACTGACTAATTGTGCAGTCATTGCGATCTTTTTAGCAACATATGTAGCTTTCTTAATTTTTCATCTAAATAAAGAGACTGTTTTTGTTCTATGGCTGGGAGGTAATAGGTAAACAGTCCAGTATTAATTCTACAATGATAAATTAAATACTTACAAAGTAATAAGTGATATTATTATATAAATCCTCGTGACGACAAGTCGTTTAACCGGCTCGGTGGTCAATATCTATAATATGCAGTATTKCATCCAGTGCATTCTATTATGTCTTCTGTGTCTGTCAAGATGGAATAGGACAATAAGTCACATAACGAGATAAGTTCCGATTGTACAATATTCAATATTATTATTTTTTCTTTTTTTTATCGTTTTATTAAAATTAAATTAAAAAATGAGTACTTCATTCGGTGAACCTTACTTTCCTGCAGTTTTACTCACACACGTTGAACGAAATTGCTMGGAAAAGCCTTGGTAAGACGTCTTGGTTTTTTTATTAGGAACGCAAAATAATTCCAAGACGATTGTTGTCTCGAAACATTATAATAATATGTCTTACTTGTCACGCCAATACTTGAGTTGGTATATCGTTAAAAAATCCTAAACATCCGTTCGTGAATAAAAATCTCATTAAATCTCTCTAGCGCTTTCAGAGTTGATTGATATGGTTTACTGGCAATAATAATAGTAAAAAAAAAAAACGGCTAAACACCTCACTGAGGTACACCTTTTTTTGATCACAACCCTAAACATATTATTCAAGAATCACTTTCTTCTAGGCGTAATCTTGCAGCCATTTGATGCACGTCCAAACTTTAATTATAATTATATCTTRTGGATTATACACTCGTCTTGTTCTACTGATCGAGTTTTTTCAATAAAAATAGGCTCGCCTCACTATCGTTACCACAACTCGACAACTCCGCACGGAATATAGATTGTATATCCCGAAAATGTKACAAATTTTACAATGTTGATTTAGGTATTCGATACAAAAACAAAATGTTTGGTTATCTAAGGTTTTCTAATAGGTACCTTTTTTTTCCGTATTAAATCACCACATGGGAGCCGAACTGTTATTGCTTAGCTCTAAATTCACATTGCATTAGCTCCTTTTCTAATAGGTACCTAATGGCTAACGCGTTTACTTTTAGTTTTCCTTTAACTAGTATCTGTACCTACGCCTATTTTACTTAAAATTGWTTATTATATTATAATCACGAAGATAAATATATATATTAACGTACACAAATTACTTAGCTATTTATTTTGATAAACTTTATTTTTTGTATATATTAAGCGTATAATTGTAATTTTTTTCATTCTAAATTTGTATTTATTTGTGATAGTGTAGCGTATACTATACTTATTGTAATTCATTATAAAAATACTTAAATAAACATAATGTAACGCAATYGAGCTCGTGCGGGCTTTTGTGTTGGTAAAAAAAAAAACTAATACTAATAATCATTGTCAACTGAACGGTGACGTGTGTGTTTTGCAGGGACTGCGTGAAAATCGTCTGGATCCAATAACGCTCGCTTGCAGCAATGAACAGGATTCCTATTTGCGAGGTGATCGACCAGCGTCCGTTGACCGACAACGACGAGCCGTCTTCCGTGTTTCGACCGCTGTCCGGCGACGAGTGCTCTGTCGCGCTGACCCACGTCCGGCCACTGCAGGCCCCGTTGGCCGACTGCGGCCCGTCCAGGTGGTTCGACGGCACGGACCGCGCGCTGGTGTTTGTGCTCGGCGAGGCGGACTGCGTGGTGGACAGGGGCCTGGAAGCGGTGGTGGCCGGCATGCGGCCGGGCGAGCTCCGGGAGTTTTGCGTGGGCGACGGACGCGGTGGCCGCGTTACCGGCCGAGTCCGGCTGTCGGCCGTGCGGAAGACGGCTGGCGGCGCTGGCTGGCGCGGCGACGACAGGCTGAAACTCGCGGAGGCGGCCCGGCACAAGGACTTGGGCAACCGCCTGTACGGACAGGGCCGGTTCGTGGACGCGTTTCACCGGTTCAACCGAGCGGCCAGAGCGGTGCTGTTCGTCCGGGACGTGGACGCTGTCCGCGGCGACTGGGACGCCATGTACGCGGTCGTGTGCAACAACATGGCCGCCTGCCAGCTGCGGCTGGGCAACTACGAGCACGCCTACCGGCTGTCCTGCAAGGTGTTGGCCGTCGACCCGAGAAACGTCAAGGCCCTGGTTCGCCGGTGCCAGGCGTCCGCCGAGCTCCGCATGTTCGAAGGCGCCTTGGTCGACGCCGTCCGTGCCCTGGACATCGAACCCGGCAACGCGGTGGCCGAGCGGTACCGTAATGTGGCCGCACGCGGCGTGGACGACCAGAACGCCCGTTACGGCGACATGGTCAAGAAGATGTTCGCCTGAGACGGCCCAGCSGCTTGTACGTACGTGTTTGTCCGTACCTATGGMAATTCCGACTAACAACAAATATAATACGTATCTACCTCCCCCCTGTAATAATTTTCATGTTACTTCCAATGTGTAATAAACAATGTTGTCAATACCGATTTGTGATTTATTAATATATTGTTGTTATATACCTATAGCCTAGGTATATAGGTCAAATATATTGACCTAAGTATGTCAATTTTAAATAATACCATAAATCATGTTGTTATAATATGACCGTTTAGGTGTCTTTTTGTTAGGTACTTACCTATATAGCGTCATGTTTACACGTTACCTACATTTGAGTTAGATCGTAAGTTTTATAGTTATTCATTCGTACAGGATATAGCAGGTTGTTGTATAGATGTATGCTTCTAGTACTGTATAGTGTAGGTACCATATTGAACAAAGTATTCCGAGTAAAATATTCGGCTTTGGAATAATTAAGGTCGCCACCGCTGCTGTGTGAGACGACCTTTAAAGCCTAAAATGGTGAAAAAAAATTTCAAAAAAGTTARTAATTTTTGATATATTTTATGTTTAAACGAATTTGGATTGTCCGCTACCTACATAATATGGAAAAGAACAGTAGTCTTTCCTTCGTATCTTTGCTATAAAWTATATTTTTATTTTATCAGAAGAGTAAACAGGTTAAAGAAAATAAAAATTGGGTAAGCCCACCCAACGCGGTAAACTTAATACTGTTGAATAAACAGACTAAACTTTTTTTTATACCAACCTTAATTTACAAATACATTATTTGGTTTAAGTGCACATAGTCATAATATAAATGAGATATTGAGAAGAGCAATTGACGAGGAAATCGTTGCATTATAAAATTGACTGTTAAGTTGCTGTAAGAAATTTAGCTAAAATACTTTTATCAACCACCCAAGTTCTGCTTGAACAAAAATATTAATAATAAATGAAATAAAAGCGTGTGTCTATCGAGCTTGAATTAGAAGAATATATATTAAATACCTAATAAATAGATATTATTGTCAACATTTTATATGATTTAGGCTGAAATAAAAAAAGTTTATAATATTTTGGAACAGATTATAGTTTCATGTTATTTGAAAGGAACTGGTTACAAAATAGATACTTTAGATGTAGTTTAAGTACTTGATTGAAAAAATTCACATATTAAAAACTATATATAATAACTCAAGAATTACAAAATATGTTTCATTAAAAATATAGAACATACATTTAATCATAAAATTATGAACACAACCTAAACACCCAAAACATTGACAATCGGTGTCTGATACTAAACATATAATATGCTAAGTACAAAACATCTGGTATTTTTAACATAAAATTAAAGTTGCACATTCACATTGTATTGGAATAAATAACTTAATTTTGATTGCTCTATTTTTATATATAATTAAATACCATTCGCTCAAATGTGATTGTGAATATTACAAAAATAAATAATATAACCCTTATTTTTTTTTCAGTTTTTTACTATTACATAACTCCAGAAAAAAATAACAGTCCCGTAATTAACTTAACATCCATGGCACTTAAAATAGTAATATTTATGTACATACAATTTAATCTTAAACCCATGGTAAAATGGTTATTGATTTACATATATTTAGACAATGTAATAATTAATTAATATATTATAATTCTTTACCAATAAACCGTTGCGTTGAATGTTTTCACATAAAACAATAGTATAATCCATAATTAACATAAATTAAAAATCGGAAATACAATAACTTATCTAAATAAAATTATTTAAACATTAGTTATTATTATTACGAATACATTATTGGCGAGTAAGGCATAACGKACCTAACAATTAGCTGTATGTTAAAAAATATTAAAATCAAATTAGTATAGCTAAGTACAAGAAATTATACGGATTGGTTGGTTCTAGTCTCCATGATTTGAGCAATTTATCTAAGAAAAATGACAATTAAAAAATATTTGGAAGACTAAGATGGGATTTTCTAATGAAAAATTAATAAAATCAGATAATATAAATATGATTGTTGAATTGAATATGTCTATTAGATGTGGCTAAATGTTTCATATAATAATTAAAAATAAATGTTACTTAATAAAAAATGTTATTATTTTTTATATGTTAAAATAKATCTATGGTATGAATTTTCTTGAAACAAAATGTATAATTGGGTTGAAAAAATAATGATACGATCTTCACGAAATCAACACAATAAATACTATCAATTACCATTACACATAACATTTAGAAATGATGATAAACAAAATTAATTTCACATACAAGTAGATAGGTATAACATTTTATATATATATATATAAAAAAAAATATATATAATCACAGAAAGTTAACAAACATGTGCCATTTATKATACGACTTAACACCGTCATGACGCAATATTATATCATGACTGTTTAAATCTATCGTTTATGTCAACACGAGAATTCATTCTTTGCATAGGCCTTTTTCCAAATGGCGACTGAACACCAGAAATAGGAGATGTTGTGTTATTCACAGCTATGTTGATTGCTTGGTTAGTGGCTTGTTCCAAACCTTTTTGAAGGAAAATTTCATAACATGGCTTCAGAAACTAAAACAATTTCAAATAATTAATAACTATAATATATGTTTTAATGGTTAATAGAAATACTAACATTGTCCCACATAATATTAGCAGCATCATCAATAGTTGAACCTAGATCACCATGTATTCCACTATACCTGTAATAAAATACAAAAATTAAAAATATTTATTGAAACATTAAAATCTATGAGATAAGCAGTAATAAAAACTCAACAAAATATTAGAATTTACGAATCACAAGAATTGATAAAGTATTAAGTAATTGTTTAACTATGACATAAAAAAAATTCTAATTTTYTATAGAAATTATGACTCAATCGACTATTTTTTTTAAAGACTTAGAGATATAGGTATTATAGTTTTAAGGAATTTGTTTCTTGGGGTATGCGCTCACACACACACTAATTAAGTATAAGAAAATAGTAGATAAAAATGCAGCATAAAATCAAAGATGATCTCTTTTGTGTATATAAATTTAGCAAATGTCATGGTCACTATAATATTATAATTATCTATCTTATTAATTATAAAATGTTTTGAGTCTTATGATTTCCAATCTATGTTATCAAAATAATCTAGATATAACTTCCAGTATATTGGTATGCATTCAAAGGGTAATCGGAATAAAAATCCCTAGACTTAAGTATAATATAATTTTCAAACATAAACAATAATATTTTGTTTTATTAATACAATATATTACTATATAAATTAAGTAATACAATTGTTAGCAATAGACCAAATTGAACATTGTGTTTAAGTGAATGAAAATTTGAGTTTCTAATTGCCACTCAAAAACAGGTGATAAAATGTGGGATATGAAATATATATTGATATAATTCCAAGACTAAAGCCAAATTGTCAAATTTAAAGATGTTAATGAGACCATTTGTAATACAACAGAAGAAATAAAAATTAAAAGCTATTAAATCTATAGCTTAATACAAAGATTGTTTCTAAAGCACTGAGATTACTGGAAGCACTGTCTAAAAGCTGAAAACAATGGTTCGAAGGGAATTAATTTAAAYAGATTGTAGTATTTACAAAACATTTTGCCTTGAAGACATCTCATTCACATATTTAACTATTGTTAATAAATAATTAAATAATTAATATACTTGCCTTATATAAGCCCACAATATAAGAACGAGAAGAGCAAGGCCCATTATTAAGTTAATACCACTGGCTACAGAGTATATTCCAAAGAAGTTAAATAATCCAGATATGAAATAACAAGCAACTGCAACTGCGAAGAATACTGCAGGTGTACGAGCAGATTTAAATACGTTTTTACTTTCATTTTGTGATTTAAATTTTAAGAAGTCTTCATCAATATCCTAAAAAATATTTGAAGGTTAAAACAGCTAGGTGATATTAAGTAATAAAGAATTATATAATGTATATAGTCTTACACTTTCTAATTTAAATTTGTAAGATTCTGAAAATTCATCACCACCCATTTTTCTTTTAGCAATGAATTGTTCCATAGCCATGTCTTTACTCTTAATGTGCTCCTCATCTAGTGTGTTGTTATTTAAATATGGCCTGTTACCACCACAAATGGTATCCATTGTCTGGCGGTAAACTTCTCGAGCAGACGCAACAGCAGATAAATTATTGGCTTCAGCCGTTGTCTAACATTTAATTATTATAATTATAGTTTTTTTTGCTTTCTTTTTATAGACATTTTCTTAAACTTACAACAAGCATAGATTTTGGTTCTGGTAGTTCAGCTCCAGTAAACAATTTAATGTATGCTTTGAAATACTGCACTAACTCTTTTGCTTTTATTTTTTGTCCACCAATTTCTTTTAAAATTAATCTGTCTGGTCTTAACAACATTGGTATCATTGTTATAAGATTTTGTTTGAATTCTGGTTCAATTTCTAAACAATAAACATTCAATATATAATTCCACTAAATATTATTTTAGTAAGAATTTTTATTACCCGAAAGTTTGCCATCAAAATTAGGATTAGTTGCAACATTCAAACCGGGGTGAGGCATCAAATAACAACTGATATCAGAAAAACACGATTTGATGTGTTTTCTTAGAGACTGAAGTTCTGGGTGTTGTTTTTCAGATATTTGCAGTCTTTTGTCTAATATTTTTTGCCCTCCATCTGCTCCATATTCTGCTTCATATGGAAAACTCCAATCTCTAACCAAGAACTGCAACTTTTGGAATGGTTTTGTACCAGTATCTTCTARTGCTAAACGACCATATTCGGTGAATAACTAAACAAACAAAAAGCAAAAAGTTTATTAATTAGGGGAATTGAAATAAAATCAGAAAAAAAATACCTGTAAATGTTGTAAATCATCTTCTTGTATGTTAAATTTTAGATTATATATTTGGATTGAGCTAAGCAAAGTGCTTAATGCAAAGACTGTGGCACAATCTTTGACTGTACTTTCACTATCAAATGTACCTTGGGTATCAAGTAGTATGATGGCTACCTTTTCACCATCTTCTAAGGTGGCTTTAAATACTTCAGACCACATAAGAATACCTGTAGTGTCTCTATCAGATCCACCACGCCAGGTAAAGCCATCCAATGGCTTATCATCTGAACCAATCCAATGTGCATCTTCATTTATTAGGTTTAAATGATACTATAATATTATAATTTATTAATGATTTATGATAATACAATGTTTAAGATTAGTTGTTTTTAGATTATTTACTGTGGCTTTCATGTATCTGAGAAAAAAATCCATTAAAAATGATTTTCCTTTTCGGTAAGATCCAGCAACAGATACCACGACAACATTTCTATCTTTAATATCATCTTTTAAAAGAATACTTTCAAGAGCTTCTTCATCAAGTATGAACTGATGATCTTCTTCTGCCAAAACTATTGGTACTGGTTTACCAACATTTATAGCATCTTGAACTTCTGCCATAATGTCTGCAAAAATAATATAATGGTTTAAAATGTTTGTTCCATTGTATTTAATTAAATAATTATTACTGGTAGGTACTAGATAGATATTAACAGGGGTGCCCACAGAAATAGAAATCTGGGGTGGGGAGAGGAATCAAAATTTCTAGTAACACAAAAAATACCTATTTTGTTTTGTTTTTAAAAATAATACAACAATTTATTTAACTAAAATTAAGAGRGGAATGGCCTCCAGCACCCCTCTGTGGACACCCATGGGAACTTAAAATATAATATGAATACCTAAATTTATTAAAGTAAACAAAACATATCTATTATAATCTTGTTAAAAAAATTATATTTTCCCTGTAAAATATAATAAAATATAAATAAAATAAATCTTTTACAAGATTATAATGGATATTTTCGTTTACTTAAATATTATGATGATGAGATACTAAGATACTAAGATTTACTATATGTATTCTAACTTTTGAGAGTAGGTAATATAAACAATTTGAATTTGCATCCTATTTTTTTGTTAAAAACAATATTTAGTGCTTAAGGGTTTTCTAAAAGTATCTTCTAATAAAATAAGTAGGCAAAGCTGTTAGTATATTAATTTAATAAATTCAAATACAATACAAATATCAATTAATAAGTTATAACTAATATAAATAACATTTTTACTGGATCGTTTTATATTTTAAGATTTTACAAGGAGAACACTAAAAAAGATGAAATATTCATGGCAATAACCACTAAATTGTTATTTTTTTTAATCAAGAGCCACTTGGCACCACCCCTTATTCAATTTTTAATTTAAAATTAAGTAGGTACTTACCAGCAATATAAAATGTTACTACTGTTTAGGTTAGGAATTATGTACATTAATTACCATGAAATTAGTTTTGAAAAATATGTCTAATGCAATTTAACCTGTTAGATTGTAGCATTGTACTATTATTTAATGTAGGTAACCTTCTAACAATACAACGAGGTCAACAAAGAAGCATAACAAGCTGATTTTCTCCTACTCTTAAGTCATTAATTCTAGAAAATAAATGTATATTTCTAGGACTTACTCAAAAATTTTTTTTTAATGTTTGCTTAATTAAAATACTTATTTTAGTGTTTAAAAACTTCAGAATTAATAATAATAATATATTAAACTTCTTTAAACAATTATGCACAAATAAATGCTTTTAAACTACAATAATTAATGAAGGTAAAATAAAACATTTTGTTTGGAAGGCGCTTTGATGTGGAAGGAAGGCTAGATGACCTGGAAATGATTATTTGCCCAAATCCCAATTGGCCACCAGTCTGATGGTATTTTAAGACTTTAGAAATACATGCCAACGTTTAAATATA